TGCAGTCCGGTGACCCTGCGTGTGCAGGGGGGTTGGACTAGATGACCTCTAGAGGTCCCTTCCAACCTTAAGCATTCTATGATTCTATGAACATATAGATTGGTTCATATTCTTTTATTTTCAGAAATATCTGCTAGTTTGTGTATTGCTGGTTTTCAGCATGAATATTACAGGATCACTGCAAGCTTTTCCGATGCATCTGGTTTCTTTAGCTGAAGAAAAATCCTGTCTTTGTGTCTAGAAGAGTTTGAGCGGAATGCTCAAGTTTCTGTATTCATCAATAAGGGTTTCTCCACAGTTTGGCTCAAGAGCAGGATAAAGGGAGGGGAGACTGAGTGGAGCCATGAGCGAGTGGGACAAAAAGAGCCATCTGCAAGGAGATGGGGGCCTTTACAAAGGAGGGAAATAGGGCAATTCCCCCACATTCTTCAGCAAGGGGGACAAAGGAGTTGGTGAGCTCAGGTGAGAACAGATGGCGGGAGGCCGGAGTTCGGTGTAGGCGGGCCGGGAAGGCTGTAACTTCTGAGTACCTTGGCCAATGGGGAAAAGGAGAGGGCGTCCCTCGGTCGGGAAATTAGGATAAAAGAGGGGCTGCGTCCCCCAGCAATTTGAGAGACCCCACAGGGATATGCCTGGTGGACTCTCCCTTTATTCGAATAAAGTTTTAGGACTCCTCTGTCTCCTTTTGGACATTCAGTTCTTGACAGCGAGATTTTCCGCACAAGTTGGACAAGGATTTCTGAAGCTTCATCTTTCTTTTTAAATTCTCAATTGAAATACCAACCTGAAGCCTTGAAATCTTTCATGAAACACAAATTTCCATAACTCCATTCCCCAAATGGATTGGGTAACTCCACATGTTTTATTTAAATAGTCTTTTGAATATGATGCATAGCAATATTGCCTTTCCAAAGCTTTCAGGTAAAATCATTCTGAAAATGTAAAAACTTTCCTTCAGGAGTCGCATGGAAAAATTGTCAAGTTTTACACATATAATAAAAATTCAAAGTTGAGCTTTGAACTGTCACTTTCTTCTGGGGAAAATGCTGTACTGGAAACTTTCTAAGCATCTGTAGTATTTGGTGACTAACCTATTTCCCTGTCTGTCACTGCTGGTCTCTAATCACCTGTCATTCAGCCTAAACCTGGCATTATTATAGCTGCTTAGTTAGTTCAACAGCTTACCATAACATCTTCCCAAGCAACTTTTTTTGCCAAGTTCTCCAAAAGACTTTATTTGGATATTTCAGTTGAGTTCTGTCTCCCCCACCCTGCCTCAACACACTTTTTTTTGAGTGTAAATCCAAGAGTTTAAAAAGTTATAACAAAACTTTAGCTTTTTTTAAGAGCATGCTTACAAGCATGCAACACTTCATGCATTCACTGTCTTTGTTTCCACTCATCTTTGAGAGCAGTCACGTTCATAAATACCTAACATATTTGCATGGTGTACTTGTTAGATTTTTATACAGCAGCGTAAGTTTCTTTTGCGTTCAAAAAAAAAAAAAATAGAATTCTCTTGTATGGTTTCTTTAAGACTTTAAATTCCCAGGAGAGAGATTTGTCATGAGGGCAGCAGGAAGTCAAACGTAAGCCTCTTGGGTCACAGGAGCACCCCTTTGCAGGACCTGCAATGTTTGCTTTGCTATACACGAAGGATTAATGACAGAAGTTAAAGTTTTACACCTACTGCTAGCTTGACATTTACTCACTTTGAACTAGC